CGGGCGGCGGGGGCCATGACCTCGGTGTGGAAGCGCCTGCAGCGCGTGGGCAAGCGGGCCGCCAAGTTCCAGTTCGTGGCCTGTTACCACGAGCTGGTGTTGGAGTGCACCAAGAAATGGTGAGTGGGAGGGAGGCCAGGGGTCTCCTCCGAACTGGGACCTCATCCAGCCCTTTGAGTCTGAGAGGATTCTGCCCCCCAGCCCAATGACCAAATGGGCCCCCACCCCAGCTTGGGCCCTGTTTCTGTTCCCAGGCTTGGAGATTCAGAAGTGTCCTTGCAATTTGTGGGACCCCTGGAGTTGGGGGTGTGGGCAGCCTTCCCTGCGCGGGGGTCAGGACTTTCAGGCCTGAGGTTCTGCCTGTGTCCACTCCTTCCTCAGCTGCGGTCAGGGTTGGGGGAGGGAGGCCGCGTGTCTTGTGCCAGAAAGGTGATTCAGGGTGGCCTTGGAAAAGGGATGAAGTTTTGAGGTCTGCAGGTGGCTAGGGCTGGGGCAGGAACCTCCCTGACCTTACTTAGTCCAGCTAAGAACAGAGGTGTTGCCCCCTCCTCCCCTGTCATCTTGTTGAGCCAGAAGAACCCCTCTAACTCCCGCCTCTTCAGCTAGAGTGCTGGGAGGCTGGAAACATCTCCACAATGTCCTTAAAAGGGGAAACTGAGTGCTGGGAGGAATGAGGAGGGAGGCGGGGAGCAGCTTAAAGGGGCCTGAGGACCTAGGAGGTTGTGTGTCCGGGATGAGAGGGTTGTGGAGGGCAAGGTGGGAGGGTGAGGGGTGATTCACGAGAGGGTGCAGGCCCCAGCCCGGACTACCAGCAGGCTCAGGGGCATCTCGTTCACATGCCGCCACCCATAGCTGCCCAGGCCCCTGCGTCACACCCTAAATATACGTGCTCGCTGGTGTCAGCTTCCCTTGGCTGGATTAGGGCACAGCTGTGGGGGCCTCACCCCCCAGATGGGGCTAAATTTAGGCTCCCCAGGGGAAGGGCTGGGGCAGGAAGGGACCATAGGGTCCAGGGGGAGGGGAGTGAGCAGGAGGCTGGGGTCCCTTGGGCAGCTGCCATATCCCTGGCCTTGCCCACACTGGGCCTGCTAGAGGGCTATTCACATCTTTCAGCAGAGCCCGGGAGAACTTGGGGGCTGGCACTTGAACTCTGGCCTCTGGCTCCTGCTCCAGCATCCTGCGGGAGGCCAGGGAAACGCTGGGCACAGCAGGCTGAGGGTGCCGGCAGTGTCAACGCAGCTGAGTCACAGGCGGCTGTGGGTAGGGCCTCCTGGGCTGCTTAGCCTGGAGCCCAGGCCGGGAAGCTGCCCCTGCCCAGGTTGCAGCTTCCCAGGAGGGCGTGCGCAGCCTGAGTCAGGCTGCCCAGCCAAGCCCCGCCCTCCCTAGGCACCCCCTGTCCGCTTCCCCTTTCTGGGAAGGCCCCTTAGTTACCCTTGCTCTGCCATCGCCAGCAATCTGGGCTTGGGGAAGGGAACTTGGCTCAGGGCTGGAGGGCTCTAGGCTCAACCGTGTAACCTTGTTTGGCTCCAAATCTGTCTGGGCCTCAGCATCCTCAGGGTTAACAGAGAACCAGTTATCCTGGCTTGGCCCCTAGAGGAACAGTGAGCTGGGCAAACCCAAGCGTCTGGCATGGGGCTGGGTACAGGCAAGGCAAGATTGTGTGCTGCCCTCGGCTGGATTGTCCCCTCAAGCATCACCCCTCCTGGGTAGCAGTTGAACATCTAACCCAAAGGGGCCTTCTGCCCCCAGGCCCAGCCCTGAGTCCACTCAGTGCCTGAGAATGGGCCCTGCGTGGCCATCTCTGTCCTCTTGCTTTGCCTCTGCCTCTCCTCTGACCTGGCATATATGCTGTTCAGTTTAGATGTCACCCCTGGAAGTCTTCCCTGATTGCCCCCCAGGCTCCACTGTCAACATCTCGCTGAAAACTGATCCTCCTTGGGACCCCTGGGCCCAGCAAAGGGCTGGACATGGCGGGCGAGGGATGGCCGTGTTGGTTAATGACAAGCTGACCCTCTACTGCCTCTCTGGCCTCACCCCCAACTCTCTGCCCCTCTCTCTGACGTCACCCTCCAGCCGCAGACCCTTGGACTTGCCATTCCCTCTTTCTCCAGATCCTCACACAGCCCATCCCCCTGCCACTCATGTCTCTGCTCAGACACCCAACCTCAAGGAGACCCCCAAGGGGTTCCCTCACATCACCCTGAAGTTCGCTTGTTAATTTATTTTCTTTCTTGACTGGTAGTCTGCCCCCACCTCCATTGTCCTCATCGGAAAGGTCTTACCCCTCTTTTGCCCGCCTCTGTCCCCAAAACTGGGTTGGGTTTATGGTGGGCGCTCCACAAACATCTTTGCGCGAAGGGACTTCTTTTATCCCTCGTCTTTGTCTCCCTGTGTCGGAGTCTGCGTGTGTACACAACGCTCAAGTGCGCATCTGTGTCTGGCATCTCTTACCGGGTCCTTGTGTTTCTGTGTGTCTTGGTCTCTGAATGTGCCTGTCCCTGTCTCTTGCTGTCTTTCCTCATAGTCCCTGCCTGCCCACACTGTCTGGGCCTTTGCCCTTCTGCTGTGGCCCCACCCTGCCTTAGCAGCTCCACCCTGCACTCTGTGGCCCCAGATAAAGGGCTGCCCAGGCCCTCTCCTGGAGGAGGGAGAGGTGGGCAGAAGGAAGACCCTGAGGGAGCTGGGGGAGGAGGAGAAAGAGGAGATGGGGAGGCGGGTGAGCCTGACCAGGCAGCCCACTCTCTTTCCCCCTCCCCCTCCCCCTCCCCCAGGCAGCCAGATAAGCTGGTGGTGGTGTGGACCCGGCGGAACCGACGCATCTGCTCCAAGGTGGGGAAGGATGGCAACTGGGGATCCAGGTTAGGGATGGGGGCCAGTGGGAAGCTGATGGGGGCTGATGGGGGAGTGGAGTCAGGTTCAAGTTCAGATCAGAATCCACAGAGGAGAGAGGAAGATGGTGTCAAGGTTGGTGATAGGGTGGGTGTGGGAGGGAAGAGTTAAGATCGGGGGAGGACTCAGATTGCCCCTTGTAGGCCCACAGCTGGCAGCCGGGCATCCAGAACCCATACCGGGGCACCGTGGTGTGGATGGTACCTGAGAATGTGGACATCTCCGTGACCCTCTACAGGGTGAGTCTCTAACCCTCCAGCATGAATGGCAACAGGGCAGGCAGTTGCAACACGGGCAGTCACCTGCCCTGGTAGGTTGTTCATCCAGATAGAAGAGGATGCGGGGGGTGAGGCCAAGAATTAGGGGGGCCTGCTCAGCATGACTGGCCCAGGAGGTCTCCTTGGAGGAGGCAGCATTTACCCAACACATGCAGCATGAGAGGCAGCTGGGACCAGAACCTAGGGTGCATCCCAGGAGGAGGTAGCAGCATGTGTAAAAGCCACCACCGCATGCACCTGTAATCCCAGCTCCTTGGGAGGGTAAGGCACGAGAATTGCTTGAACCTGGGAGGCAGAGGTTGCAGAGAGCCAAGATTGCACCCTAGCCTGGACGACAGAGCAAGACTCCATCTCAAAAAAAAAAAAAAAAGCCACCACCACCAAGCACCTCCTGAGCCAGCACAGGCTCTGCTCCCTTTGCTGCCGCCCCAGCAGCCGTGTACTCACCAGCACTCCTTCCCAGGACCCCCACGTGGACCAGTATGAGGCCAAAGAGTGGACATTTATTATTGAAAATGTGAGTGTCTGGAGTGGGCTTGGGTCTGGAATCTTGGGGACCCTGGGACAGCACTGATGCTCCTTCCCCTGGTCTCTCCTCTGGCCCACAGGAGTCTAAGGGGCAGCGGAAGGTGCTGGCCACGGCCGAGGTGGACCTGGCCCGCCATGCAGGGCCCGTGCCTGCCCAAGTCCCGCTGAGGCTGCGGCTGAAGCCGAAGTCAGTGAAGGTGGTGCAGGCTGAGCTGAGCCTCACTCTTTCCGGGGTGTTGCTGCGGGAGGGCCGTGCCACGTGAGTGCCTACCTGCCCTCCTTGACCCTGGCCTGTGACCTCTAACCCCCACCCTCACCTTTAACCTCTGCCCCCCAGGGACGATGACATGCAGAGTCTTGCAAGCCTCATGAGTGTGAAGCCTAGTGATGTGGGCAACTTGGATGATTTTGCTGAGAGTGATGAAGACGAGGCTCATGGCCCAGGAGCCCCCGAGGCCCGGGCTCAAGTCACCCAGCCAGGTGGGCTCAGCCTGCTGTGGATCCAGACTGCCAAGACCTGGGGAGGGAGGGTTTCCTGGGCCACCAGCCACTTGCTGTGCCCGCCGTGTGATGGGAACTCATAACTGCCCAGGCAGTCCCAACCAACCCGGCAACCTCAATCGTCCCAACCTGGCTGCTGGTTCCGTGATGGTCTTAGTCTTCAACTGAGTCCTGGAGGATGGGTTCCCAATGTCTTCCTGGGCTCCTGGGTCCTCTTCTCATCCCTGTGTGGTGCTTGCCGGGCCCGTACCTGACCCAGGACAGCTGGCTCAGAAGCCCCGCTCCTGATCCCTCACCACCAGCCCTCCTGGGCCAGCTGGGGCTTCCTCATCCCTCCCCGCTGCTTGTCCAGGCTTTTTCTCTGTCCACTATTGTGGTTCTTTCTCTCTTTCTCTCCACATCTGTGGGCCTGTCTCTTCTCGCAGGCCGGGGCGGTGCCCTGAGGCCGGGGCGTTTCCCAGGTAGGCCCTGCACCGTAGTTGGGGGAGGGGGTCAGGCCTGCAGGGCCCTGCCCTGGGCTGACTCTGCCCTTCTGCCCTCTCCTACCACCCCCAGATCCCTCTCGAGAGCTGAAGACGCTTTGTGAGGAGGAGGAGGAAGGTCAAGGACGACCCCAGCAGACAGGTGAGACCCAGGCTGGGGTTGGGGGTGGAGACCGGACCCCAGGTCACTGGGCCCAGGCCACAGCATCCCCCACTTTCTTCTCAGTTGCCAGCCCTTCTAATGCTGAGGATACCAGCCCAGCCCCTGTGAGTGCTCCTGCACCCCCGGCCAGAGCCTCCCGAGGCCAGGGGCCAGAACGAGCTACTGAAGCCGGGGGCCAGGTGGGCCCTGAGGCCCCAAGGCCCCCGGAAACCTCACCAGAGATGAGGTGAGCTTTGGAACCAGCCCCACCCCCATTGCCCCCTGATAGGAGCCGCAGTCCTCACCCCACCAACCTGCCTCTCCAGGGCCCCAACAGTCTGAGGGGTGGGGGATGGTGCTGAGATTTGGGGCCACAGCAGCCCCCCAACTCCCCCTCCTGCTTTCTTCTCAGGTCTTCAAGGCAGCCAGGCCAGGACACGGCCCCAACCCCAGCCCCTCGGCTCCGGAAAGGCTCTGATGCCCTCCGGCCCCCAGTCCCCCAAGGGGAAGATGAGGTTCCCAAAGCCTCAGGGGCTCCTTCAGCAGGATTGGGCTCTGCTAGGGAGACCCAGGCCCAGGCATGCCCTCAGGAAGGGACAGAAGCCCATGGAGCTAGGCTGGGCCTGAGCATTGAGGATAAAGGCTCTGGAGACCCTTTTGGAGGGCAGAGAGTCAAGGCTGAAGAGATGGGCACTGGGGACAGTCCAGAGGCCAGTGGGGTGGACACTGAGCCCAGGTCAGGAGGCAGAGAGGCAAACACTAAGAGGTCAGGAGTCAGAGCTGGGGAGGCTGAAGAGAGTTCAGCAGTTTGTCAAGTGGATGCTGAGCACAGGTCAAAGGTGAGACATGTGGACACTAAGGGACCAGAGGCAACAGGGTTGATGTCTGAGGCAAGATGCAGGGGGACCCCTGAGGCTCCTCCAAGGGGCTCTCAGGGGAGGGTGGGAGTCAGGACGATGGATCAGACTGTAGGGTACTCTGGGCAACTTGGTGACCTGAAGGGGGCCAGGGCTGCTGCAGGCCAGGAGAGAGAGGGTGTAGAAGTGAGGGGCGGAGCCCCTGGTATTCAGGGGACAGGCCTGGAGCAGGGCCCCTCTGTTGGAGCAGTAAGCACCAGGCCCCAGGTGAGCAGCTGGCAGGGGGCCGTGTTATCACCTGCCCAGGGGGTAATATCCGGGGGTCTGGGAGGCTGGGAGGCAGAAGCTGGGGCTTCAGGGGTCCTGGAAACAGAGACTGAGGTGGTAGGGTTGGAGGTGCCAGGAACCCAGGAGAAAGAAGTTGAGGGGTCAGGGTTCCCAGAGACTAGGACACTAGAAATTGAGATACTGGGGGCCTTGGAGATAGAAGCAGCAAGATCAAGGGTCCTGGAGTCAGAGCTTGCTGGGACAGGACAGTGTGAGGGACTGGAGACCCAGGAAACAGAGGTGGGGGTCATAGAGACCCCAGGGACAGAGACTGGGGCGGCAGAATCTGAGGTACTGGGGACTCAGAAAACAGAGGCTGGGGGTTCAGGAGTTTTGCAGACAAGAACTAAGATAGCAGAGACTGAGGTACTGGGGACCCAGGAGATAGCTAGGGATTTGGGGCCACTGAAGATAGAAGATACGATAGCAGAATCTGAGATGCTGGGGACCCAGGAGACAGAGGTGGAAGCTTCTAGGGTACCAGAGACAGAGGCTAAAATATTAGGGACCCAGGAGATAACAGCTAGGGATTCAGGGGTCCCAGAGATAGAAGCTGAGATAGCAGAGTCTGATATATTGGTAGTCCAGGAGATAGAGGTGGGGCTTTTGGGGGTTCCAGGAATAGAGACTGGGACAGCAGAAGGTGCGATATTGGGGACCCAAGAGATAGCATCTAGGGATTCAGGGGTTCCAGGGATAGAAGCTGATATAACAGGGATTCAGGGGAAAGAGGTTGGGGGTTCAGAGGTTCCAGAGATAGAGACTGGGACAGTAGAAACTGAGATATTGGGGACCCGAGAGATAGCATCTAGGAGTTCGGGGGTCCCAGGGCTAGAATCTGAGGTAGCTGGGGCCCAGGAGATAGAGGTGGGGGGTTCAGGGATCTCAGAGGCAGAGGCTGGAATGGCAGAGGCCCAAGTACTGATGACTCAAAAGACAGAAATTATAGTTCCAGAGGCTGAGAAGGAAGAGGCTCAGACTTCGGGGGTTCAGGAAGCAGAGACTGAAGTTGGGAGTGCTCTCAAATATGAGGCTTTAAGGGCCCCAGTCACTCAGCCAAGAGTTTTAGGATCCCAGGAAGCAAAAGCAGAGATTTCAGGAGTACAAGGGTCAGAGAGTCGAGTTCTGAGAGTCCAGGAGGAAGAGGCTGGGGTTTGGAGGATATCAGAGGGAAAATCTGGGGCTTGGGGGGCCCAGGAAGCAGGGATGAAGGTTTTAGAGTCTCCAGAGAACGAATCTGGTACTTTTAAGGCCCAGGAAGTGGAGGCTGGGGTCTTGGGAAATAAGAAGGGGAAAGAAGCTGAGAGAAGCCTTGCAGAGGCCAGCCCGCCCGAAGCACAGGTGGCCAGTGGGGCAGGGGCTGGGGCACCCAGGGCCTCTTCCCCAGAAAAGGCTGAAGAGGACAGGAGGCTGCTGGGCAGCCAGGTAGGGATGGGGGCCGCCGAGGGCCCAGTCTGCTGCTTCCCACTAACCTGGGGCTGAGCGAACGGCGGCTCTGCATGGACCCACCTGGTGGAATGGGATCGGGTGGGGTGCGGGGCTCAGCTTGAAGGAGCCCCCTCATCCCTTCCTTTCTCAGGATGCCCTGGTTCTCCTACCCCATCTTCCCTGGGCCGCATGGAGCTGGACACCTTTAAGCTGATTTTCTGGGCTGACCTTGAGGTCTGGCTGCTGGTGACCTCTGATCTTGTCTGGGGGCCACTGACCTTTTAGGTGACCTTGGCAGATAACCCTGCATCTGAAAACCCTTTTACCTGGCCCCAAGGCTCTGGCCAGTGGTCTGTGGTGACCCCTGCAAGCTCAGAGATGGGGCTGTTTTGTGCCAGGCATGAGCTTCCCCAAGAGGCAGAGGGCACAGAGCCCATTTATACATTCCGTAAGCCCACCCCTGTGTCCCCAGGCAACACCTGCCGTGGTCAGCTCCAGCCAGTCCCTGCTGGAGTGGTGCCAGGCAGTCACCGCTGGCTACCGTGGTGTTCGCATCACCAACTTCACCACATCCTGGCGCAACGGCTTGGCCTTCTGTGCCATCCTGCACCGATTCTACCCAGACAAGATGTGAGCTGCCAGAGGGGTGGGAATGGATGGGGGAGCCATCAGGGAGGGCAATGTGGACCCAGTCTCTGACCAGCACTCTCTCTGCAGTGATTATGCCTCCCTAGACCCACTCAACATCAAGCAGAACAACAAGCAGGTGAGATGGGATGGGGGGCTGCCTGGAGGGAAGGAGGGTTTAGAGAGCCAGGCTTTCAGTCTCAGATTTGGATAAGGTGGGCTGCTGGGCCCAGCAGTGGCTTCTGGAAGTTCTGCCACTTTTTACCCCTTTCGTCATTAAATTGTTTGTTTTCCTTATTTTTGTTTGTTTGTTTTAAAGCGTTTTTCCTCCCTTAGATGGTTTTTCCAAAACCACACTTTGGTAACGGGGCGGACTGTGTGCCGTTGCTAAGCAACGCGAGGGCGGGCCCTGTTGCTGGATTTCCCTTGTTAGGAGGGGGCGGTGTTGCTAGGCAAAGCCTGGGGTGCCAATCCCGGGGACCCCCTCCGTGGGGCAGCACTGCAGCGTTGCTGGGTGGCGCGGGCCACTGCCGCCGCTGACCCCGAG